AACAAAAGCCAAAATAGACAAATGGGACCTAATCAAACTCCACGGCTTCTGCACGGCAAAAGAAACAGTCATTAGAGTGAATTGGCAACCAACAGAATGGGAAAAAATTTTTGCAGTTTACCCTTCTGACAAAGGGCTGATATCCAGAATTTACAAAGAACTAAAACAGATTTACAAGAAAAAAACAAGCCCATTCAAAAGTGGGCAAAGGATATGAACAGACACTTTACAAAAGAAGACATACATGAGGCCAACAAACATATGAAAAAGTGCGTATCATCACTGGTCATTAGAGAAATGCAAATCAAAACAACATTGAGATACCATCTCACGCCAGTTAAAGTGGCGATCATTAAAAAATCTGGAGACAACAGATGCTGGAGAGGATGTGGAGAAATAGGAACACTTTTACACTGTTGGTGGGAGTATAAATTAGTTCAACCATTGTGGAAGACAGTGTTGCGATTCCTCAAGGACCTAGAAATAGAAATTCCACTTGACCCAGCAATCCCATTACTGGGTATATATCCAAAGGATTATAAATCGTTCTACTATAAGGACACATGTACACGAATGTTCATTGCAGCACTGTTTAGAATAGCAAAGACCTGGAACCAACCCAAATGCCCATCGATGATAGACTGGACAGGGAAAATGTGGCACATATGCACCATGGAATACTATGCAGCCATCAAAAGCGATGAGTTCGTGTCCTTTGTAGGGACATGGATGTGAAAAGGAAAGAAGTCCTATCACAATGAAAAAAAAAAAATCAATTCCAGGCAGGTTACAAACCTAAAGAGAAAGGTAAAACAATCCAGTTTTTATTAGATAACATAGGAGAATATATTGAAGGACTTTAATTAGGAAAAAGATTTATTAAATGTTATACCAAAAAAACTAGACATGAAGCAAAAGATTACTAAATTAGGCGTTAATATTAATTTCTATTCTTCAAACGACAGCCTTAAGAGAGAAAAAAGGCAAGAAAAATGGGAGAAGTTATTTGAAAGACATACAAACTGTATGTGTGTGTTGTCATACATGTTGTTAGGGAAATGAAACATGTCCTGTCTGACTCCACTAGGAAGGCACATTGGAAAGGGAGGAGCTGCTTTCTTCCAGACTTTCCCCATGTGCCTTTTCCCTTTGTTGATTTTTACTTCATATCCTTTTGCTGTAACCAACTATAATCATAATCATAACAGCTTCTGATTACTATGAGTGGTCTTGGGTACTCCCAATATACCTCCCAGGCATATTCTTAACAAAAAATCATTATTCATGTTCACAGAATGATATATACAAAGATACTGTGTATCAACATTAAAACAAAGCCAAACTAAAAAAAAAAAAACCCTCCAAATAGTTATGTAATTATAGCATAATATTAAATAACAAAAATGAACAAACTGCTACATGCAACAACATGAATCTTACAAACGTTAAAAGAAAGAAACCAGAGACAAATTAATACTGTCAATGCTCCCAGCCAAAGGCTACCAGGAACATAGCTGCAGTTGAACCCGCTGGGTTCGTTATTCATTTCAGCAAGGGATAAAACATATAATTGGGAACTGTGGAATGTCTCAGTAAAAAAGTATTAGAAAAGACTATTATATGATTCAGGTTTTGGTTAGGTGATTCTGGGTTGGTTCTGGATTGGGTGCTACCAGGAAGCAGGAATGATTTTTGATTCAGGACAGCGATTATCTTTGGATAAGAGTAAAGAAGAGGAGGGAATACTTTGGAGGGTTAGTAGGGGAGCATCCAGAGTACTGCTACTGCCTCCCTGGAAAGAAATATAAGTATTTCTGGGATGACAAATGATGGGAAAACAGAAAGTTATTAGCAATAGTTTGGATGCTCCATCCAATGGTGAAACATGATCAACGGAATTTCACTACAAGATGAAGCTTACTATGCTCACTTGCCTATCAAGTCAATATTTAAGAGAATGTGTAGGCCGGGCGCGGTGGCTCACGCCTGTAATCCCTGCACTTTGGGAGGCCGAGGCGGGTGGATCACGAGGTCAAGAGATCGAGACCATCCTGGTCAACATAGTGAAACCCCATCTCTACTAAAAATACAAAAAATCAGCTGGGCATGGTGGTGCATGCCTGTAATCCCAGCTACTCAGGAGGCTGAGGCAGGAGAATTGCCTGAACCCAGGAGGCGGAGGTTGCGGTGAGCCGAGACTGCGCCATTGCACTCCAGCCTGGGTAACAAGAGCGAAACTCCGTCTCAAAAAAAAGAATGTGTAACTTATCGCTTCTCGGCCTTTTGGCTAAGATCAAGTGTGGAGAATGTGTAACTTGTTGAAATTCAAAATATATTAGGTGAAAAATATATAAAGCATTTGCATGAAGTCCACTGGCACTTATTCAAGCTTTCAAATCTCAAAACTGTATCTGGATAATGCAACACTGAACTACTTTTTTTTTTTTTAAAGGAATATTTAAAAAAATTTTTTTTAATTGCATTTTAGGTTTTGGGGTACACGTGAAGAACATGCAAGATTGTTGCATAGGTACACACATGGCAGAGTGATTTGCTGCCTTCCTCCCCTTCACCTATATCTGGCATTTCTCCCTATGCTATCTCTCCCCAACTACCCACCCCCCGCTGGCCCTCCCCATTCCCCCCAACAGACCCCAGTGTGTGATGCTTCCCTCCCTGTGTCCATGTGTTCTCATTGTTCAACACCCGCCTATAAGTGAGAAAGCAGCTCCTCCCTTTCCAATGTGCCCTCCTAGTGGAGTCAGACAGGACATGTTTCATTTCCCTAGCAACGTGTGTGACAACACACGCACACAGTTTCCAATCAGGGAAGCTCACGTGAGCTTTTGTGTCCAGGGTTTTTAGTAGGGTCAGTCTTGACATAGGCATTTGGTAGTACCTGTACAGCTGACTTCAGGGTCAGCTCCAGACCCCCAGAGAAAAAGCAAATGTCCACCATAAATCACATTGTTAGCATACACTGTCTGTTTAAGCTGGTATAGCATGACCCAAGGCCTCAGATACACAAAACATTTCTTATCAGACATAACATTCCGTGATAGGAGACAGCCAAGAGCCAGTCCTGAAAACAGGCCTGTCTTGGGAATGTGCAACCAAGTTTGCTGAATTAATAAATTTTTCCATCAGAGATTGAAAATGATAGGTCAAATGGTATCTGTAGGTGCAAACTGGAGAGGGCCAAAGAGTTTTCCAAAGTGATGATCCTTGTTTACTCTCTAGCCAGCAGATGTGTAAGAACTTCAGTTCTACATTGCCAACACCTTGTACAGTTTCATCTTCTCAAATTGCTGTTTTCTTCCTATTGTGTATTGATGTCTCATTCTGGTTTAAATTTGTATTTCCTCAATAACTGAGACTGAGCACCTTTTCATATGTCATTGGCCAGTAGGCTATGTTGTGAAGTGCCAGTTCAGGTTCTTTGGCTGGTTTTCTTTTGAATCATTTGCTTTTTTCTTGTTGATTTTTAGGAATTATTTACGTTTTGATATATACAGTTTGTACGTCTTTCAAATAACTTCTCCCATTTTTCTTGCCTTTTTTCTCTCTTAAGGCTGTCGTTTGAAGAATAGAAATTAATTTTAACGCCTAATTTAGTAATCTTTTGCTTCATGTCTAGTTTTTTTGGTATAACATTTAATAAATCTTTTTCCTAATTAAAGTCCTTCAATGTATTCTCCTATGTTATCTAATGAAAACTGGATTGTTTTACCTTTCTCTTTAGGTTTATAACCTGCCTGGAATTGATTTTTTTTCTCATTGTGATAGGACTTCTTTCCTTTTTAAGGCCACATAGTATTTCATAGTATGTCTGTACCACATTTGCTTTATCTATTCATCTGTTGATCAATTTGGGTTGCTTTCACTTCTTGGCTGTTGTAAATAGTGCTGCAGTGAACCTGATGTGCAGATATCTCTTTGAGTTCTTGCTTTCAGTTATTTTGTGTATGCTTAAAAGTGGAATTGCTAAATTATATATGGGAGTTCTATTTATAATTTTTCAGGAACCCGCCATACTGTCATTCTGTAGCAGCTGCACCATTTTACATTCCTACCAGCACTGCACAAAGGTTCTACTTTTCCACAGCTCACCAACGCTTGTTGTTTTCTGGGTTTCTTTTTCTTAGTAGTTATTCTGTGGAACATGAAATGGTAACTCATTATGGTTTTGATTTGCATTTCTCTGATGATTGGTGTTACTGAGCATCTTTTCATATGCTTGTCCATTTATGTATCATCTTTGGGGAAATGTCTGTTCAAATATTTTATCCATTTTTTAATTGGATTATTTTTTTTGTTATTAAATAGTAGGAGTTCTTTACATATTCTGAATATTTACTCTATAGCAGATACATGGTTTGCAAATTTGTGTTTCTTTAGAGTTGATTTCTTTCATTTCATTTTGATTCTTTGATCGGGCCATATTTCCCCATTTCTTCGTGTGCCTTGTGATGTTCTGTTGAGATTTGGGCATTTGAAACAACTCTCTCTCCCATTCTTTACAGACTGGCTTCATTCAGGGAAGACCTTTACTGTCAGCCTCCGTAGAGGCTCTAAGACCTCTCAAACCATTTCTCAATTGCCCAGTCACATTGCAAGTGTCCTAGAGAAGGGACTGGAAAACCATGCCACTTTTTCTATCGGTAACAGGGATGATTTCAAATTATGGGTTTTATTTCAGTAAGAGACAGATAAATACACTTGTCCCTTAGTACCATGAGGTATTGGTTCCAGGACCCCTAGGGGATATCAAAATCCACAAATGCTCAAGTTTTTACGTAAAAAGGCATAGTAGTTGCATATGACCTATGCGTATCCTCATATACTTTAATTCATCTCTAGGTTACTTATGATACCTAATACAATGCTATGGTAAATAGTTGTTAATACTACATTTTAAAAAATATGTGTATTATTTTATATTGTTGTATTATTTTTATTTTTTCAAAATATCTTTGATCTGTTGGTCATTGAATCTGTAGATATGGAACTTGCAGATACAGAGAGCTGACTGTGTAACTGTTTGTTCTGATGTCAGTTTGGTAACTTGTGTTTTCCAAGAGTGTGTCCATTTCTTCTGATTCTTCAAATTTATTGGCAAAAAATGTATACTTTCCTCTGAATTGCCTTTTTAAAAGTTGAGTTGATGTTTACGTAACATGCAGTTAACCTTTTACAGAGTAAATTCAGTGGAATTTAGTTCATTCACAGTGTTGTACAGTCACCACCTCTCTTCATTTCCAGTACTTCTACATCCTCTAAGTAACCATTCCCCATTCCACCCTTCCAACCTCCCCTCACTCCCTAGAAACCTCTGATCTGCTTTCTGTCTCTATGGACTTGTCTGTTTTGGATATTTCAGGAACTGTAAAGCATGTGTCCTTTTCTGTCTGACTTCTTTAACTTAGAATAATGTTTTTGAGGTTCACGTGCTCTTTTGAAGCTGAATAATAGGCCATCATATGTATACCACATCTTGTTTCTCAGTTTGTCTATTGATAGACATTTGGGTTGTTTTCACCTTTTGGCTGTTATAAATAATGCTGCTATGAGTATTTATATACAAGTTTTTGTGTAGACCTATGGCGTGATTTCTCTTGTATGTATACCTAAGAGTGAAATTGCTGATTCATGTGATCATTTTATGCTTAACTTCTTGAGGAACTGCCGAACTATTTTCCACAACAGTAGTACCATTTTATCATTTTGTCCCTCCCCTCCCCTCCTCTCCCCTCCCCTCCCNGTTGCTGGGACTACACATGTGCACAACCATGCCTGGCTAATTCTTGTATTTTTATTTTATTTTATTATTTTATTATATTGTATTTTATATTCCTCTCCTCCCTTCCCCTCCCCTCCCATCCCCTCTCCTTTTCACCCTTCCCCTCCCCTCTCTTTTCTGGAGGGAGGGGATGAAGTTTTGCTCTGTCGCCCAGGTTGGAGTGCAGTGGCGCAGTCTCAGCTCACTGCAACCTCCACCTTCTGGTTTCAAGCAATTCTCCTGCCTCAGCCTCCTGAGTAGCTGGAATTACAGGTACCTGCCACCACACATGGCTAATTTTTGTATTTTTAGTAGAGATGGGGTTTCACCATGTTGGCCAGGCTGGTCTCAAACTCCTGACCTCGTGGTCTGCCCGCCTCAGCCTCCCAAAGCGCTGGGATTACAGGTGTGAGCCACTGTGCCCAGCCCTCTTTTATTTTTATTTTTTGAGACAGTTTCGCTCTGTCACCCAGGCTAAAGTACAGTGGTATGATCACAGCTAACTGCTGCCTAAACCTTCCAGTCTCTAGCAGTCCTCCCACTTGAACCTCCCAAGTAGGTGGGACTACAGGCACACACCACCGCATCTAATTTTTGATTTTTTGGTAGAGATGAGGTCTCACTGTGTTGCCCAGGCTGGTCTTGAACTCCTGGGCTCAAGCCATTCTCCCACCTCTGCTTCCTGAAGTGCTGGGATTATAGGCATGAGCCACTGTGCCCAGCCCCATTTTATATGCCCAGTAGCAATGCACAAGAGTTTATTTCTTCACGTCCTCGTCACCACTTGTTATTTTCCATTAATAAGAAAAAATTCTAGCCATCCTATTAGATGTGAAGTGATATGTCAAATTTGGGTTTTAGTGTGCATTTTCTTAATGACCAGTGAATCTGAGCATCTTTTCAAATGTTTGTTGGCCATTTGCATCTCTTCTTGTAAAAACGTCTGTTCAGATTCATTGTCCATTGTAAAAATTGGCTTGTCTTTTTGTCGTTGAGTTATATATTTATATATTCTTGACACGAAACCATTATCAGATATGTGACTGCAATTTTTTTGACACTCTGTAGATTGTCTTTTTGCTCTCTTGATAATATCTTTTGATTGAACAAAGGTTTTCATTCTTTTGAAGTCCAATTTTTTTTTTTTTGAGACAGAGTTTCACTCTTGTTGCCCATGCTGGAGTGCAATGGGGCAATCTTGGCTCACCGCAACCTCCGCCTCCCAGGGTCAAGTGATTCTCCTGCCTCAGCCTCCTGAGTAGCTGAGATTACAGGCATTTGCCACTACGCCTGGCTAATTTTGTATTTTTAGTAGAGATGGGGTTTCTCCATGTTGGTCAGGTAGTCTCGAACTCTCAACCTCAGGTGATCTGCCTACTTTGCCCTCCCAAAGTTCTGGGATTATAGGTGTGACCCACTATGCCCAGCCGTGGAGTCCAATTTAACTATTTTTGTTGTTGTTGTTGTTGCTCATGCTTTTGGTGTCAAATTTAAGAATCCATTGCCATGTCAAAGTCATGAGGATTTATTCCTGTGTTTACTTGTAATAGTTTTATAGTTCTAGATGTTGAGAGTTAGGACTTAGATCCATTTGAAGTTAATTTTTCTATATAGAGAAGCAGGGATCTAAGTTTTTCACTTATATATCATTATCCAATTGTCCCAGCACCATTGTTAAAGAGACTATTCTTTACTACCTAATGTGGTTTTGACACTCATGTCAAAAATCCATTGGCTGTAGATGTTTGGGTTTATGTCTGCAGCTGCATTTCACTTTCTGGAACCTTTCCAATTTGTATGCCTTTTATCATCATCTCCTTCTCCTCTTCCTCGTCCTCGTCCTCCTCCTCCTCCTCCTTCTCCTCCTCCTCCTCCTCGTCTTCCTCTTTCTCCTTCCTCTTACCTTTTCCTACCTTCCTCCTTCCTCCTCCCTCCTCCTTCCTTCTTTTTTTTTTTCTTAATTGCTTTGGCTAGGACTTCCAGTAGAAGGTTGAACAGCAATGCAAAGTGAGTATTCTTGCCTCATTCCTGACCTTAGTAGAAAGCTTCCAGTCTATCACTTTTGTACTGAGGTTAGATGTGGATTTTTTTTTTTTTTTTTTTTTTTTTTTTTTTTTTTTGAGATGGAGTCTCACTCTGTAGCCCAAGCTGATGTGCAGTGGCTCAGTCTTGGCTCACTGCAACCTTCATCTCAGGGGCTCAAGCAATTCTCATGCCTCAGCGTCCTGAATAGCTGGGACTCCAGGCACATGCCACCACACCTGGCTAATTTTTTTTTTTTTTAACTGTAGTAGAGACAAGGTTTCACCATGTTGGCCAGGCTGGTCTCGAACTGCTGAGCTCAGGCATCAGCCCGCCTTGGCCTCCCGAAGTGCTGGGATTATAGCCATGAGCCACTGTGCCTGGCCCACTGCGGATTTTTAAATAAATGCGCTTTATCATATTAAAGAAGTTTTTTTTTCCTGTTCTTAGTTTGCTGAGTGTTTTATTGTGAGAGAATGTTGAGTTTTGCCCAGTGTTTTTTCTGTGTGTATTTAGATGATGTGTTTTTCTTTAATTATTATGTATTACACTGGATGCGTATCTTACATTGCACCACCCTAGTATTCCTGAGATAAACCCAAATTGGGCTCCATTGAAACTAAAAACTTTTGCATTATAAATGTTACGAAGAAAGTGAGAAGACAGCCAGATGCAGCGGCTCACGCCTGTAATCCCAGCACTTTGGGAGGCTGAAGCAGGTGGATTATTTGAGGTCGGAAGTTTGAGACCAGCCTGGCCAACATGGTGAAACCCTTTCTCTACTAAAAATACAAAAATTAGCCAGCTGTGGTGGTGCATGCCGAGAATCGCCTGAGCCTAGGAGGTGGAGGTTGCAGTGAGCCGAGATAGGGCCACTGTACTCCTCTCTGGGAGATAGAGTGAAACCCTGTCTCAAAAAAAAAAAAAACAAAAAAAAAACCAGAAAGTGAAAAGATAACCCACAGATGGTACCTAGAGATTAGCATCCAGAATATATAAATAATAGTAATTATTTTTTTTTGAGACAGAGTCTCACTCTGTCAGCAGGCACCAGGCTGCAGTGCAGTGGCGTGAGCTCGGCTTACTGTAACCTCTCCCTCCAGGGTTTAAGCAGTGCTCCTGCCTCAGCCTCCCAAGTAGCTGGGACTGCAGGCATGTGCCACCACACCCAGCTAATTTTTGTATTTTTTTAGTAGAGACGGGGTTTCACCATGTTGGCCAGGATGATCTCGATCTTGACCTTGTGATCCGCCTGCCTCGGCCTCCCAAAGTGCTGGGATTACAGGCTTGAGCCACCATACCCAGCCTTATATAAAGAATTCTTACAACTCAAATTAGAATTTACATTTACCATTTAGTAGTTTCAGTCAGCCAGAGTTGGTTTCTCTTCAATCATTCAATTTGTCATGACTCAAAACTACATCAGATACTACTTCACACCCATGAGGATGCTTATAATAAAATTTTAAAAGTATGGGAAATAGTATGGTAGTTCCTCGAAAAATTATAGAATTACCATTTGATCTAGCAATTCCACTTCTGTGTATATATACAAAAGAGTTCAAAGCAGGGACACAGATATTTGTACACCAGTGTTCATAGCAGCACTATTGACAACATTCAAAAGGTTGAAAAAACTAAATGTCCATTGACAGATGAATGGATAAACAAAATGTACTGTAAATAGATGGATATATAGGTCACAAAGGAATATTATTCAGCCCTAAAAAGGAATGAAATTCTGTCTGATACATGCTATAACATGGATGAACCTTGAAGACACTGTGGGTAAGTCAAATAAGCCAGACACAAAACAAGAAATGTTGTGTAATTTGACTTGTGGGGTACATAGAATAGGCAAATTCATAGAGACAAATTAGAATGGACTTATTAGGGATGAGGTATGATTCCATTTCTATAAAGTTGAGAGTTACTCTTAAAGGAGGAAGGGACCCATTATGACTAGAAGGAGGCACAAGGGAGGCCACTGGGCCATCTTCTGTTTCTCAGTCTGTGTTTACTCCATAGAATTTCATTGAGCTGTTCAGCCATGATTTGCACATTTTCCTTTATATGTTATACTTTTATTAAAATCTACTTAAAATGGAAATAAAAGATACCTGGATTTCAGCTTTTAAATGCTGATGCAAAGATAGCCATTTTTGGGTGGGTGCGGTTGTTCACACTTGTAATCCCAGCACTTCTGGAGGCTGAGGCAGGTGGATCACCTGAGGCCAGGAGTCCGAGACCAGCCTGGCA